TAACTAAATAAGCTTGCACAGAAAAGTAAGAGAGCATAATGTAAAACTTGTAACACTTAGATATGTAATAGCTGCTTAGTTGTTGCACTTCAAAACTGAAAACTACTTCTTGCTAACATTTGATGTTCTTTAAAAGGGTGAATTATCTAAATAGTTGGTGCTTTATTTAACAGAAGTTTCCAATAAACCTCATTCCATCACTTTGAGTTATGTCACTTCATGCCATGTGACACGAAGGCATTGATGTAAGTTTGACAGGAAGTGCCAGTGCTGACAAGTCAGTTTGAGAATTTATGACAAATTATATGCTACAGATATTTTTAAAACAACTGTAGATTGCCAAGGAAAAAAAGTATTTAAAATGTGTAATAACTCTGATGTATCTTTAGATTGAAAACAATTTATTCAATTCACATAGTTATATTGATTTAATGTTCAGGCTGATACTTAATGCAATAAAAGAAAGGAAATTTATATTGAAAATTCCCAACTAGCTCAAGTTGCAATATATTATAGAAGAAAGGAAAATGAGATGTGTTAATGTAATGGGCTTTTTTTTAACATTGTCATTAAGTAACACTGTTAGCATTTAATAATTTGAAACAATCTATCTCAAATGTTAAGGCCCTACACAGAAAAAAAAAGGGTGTCAGCTGAACAGAGAATTAATTGCGTATAAAAATTCTTATTCAGCAAAGAATACAACATGGCAAGCGGGGGGTATCTTGCAGTAGAAGTGCTAGTTGATTTAAATAATGGGTTTTTTCCTTTTCTAGGTTTGAGGTGGGGTTTTGTTAATCTCATTTATCTACAGATCAGTTCCTGCCTTATAATTTCTTCACAATCTCTGTACTTCAGTTGAAGCATACTTAGTTCAGTCATGTGTGAACTTTCACACATCTATTTTATCTTCAAATGTCTTACTTCTGTTATGGAAGAATAAGAGATTGAATGCTTAAGGACTAATCAAATTAGGGAATCATAATCATTTTTCTAAGACATAAAACAAGCTTATTAGAAGAGGATAATAAAGGAAAAAAGAAAAATAATAAACTCCATGTCCTCAGCAGACGAAATTGTTCCATGTGTTAAAAGTACATTGCTGTGGATCACCAGAAAACATTGTCCCACTCACTTAGTGTTGCTCAAAATGTACCAGAGTTCAAATACTTCTATTTGATTTTTGGGAAGACAAAAATCAAATCCTGACAACAGGCTAATGAGTGAAATGAGAAGAACCCTTTTGCAGCTGGAGATACTGTATGTATAAAATCTTATCTAACTGAACTGCCATGCTGTAACATTTTCACTGTAAAAGCTGCCTTCTTTCAGGATATGTGAAAGGAGTCTGATTTTGGCTCTTTTTTTTTCAGTAGAGAGATAGCATGGCATCAGTTAGAACTGATATGAGTATTTTCAAGGGAAGAAATAGAAGAGCCACCATGAATTTCCTGTTTTCAACTGCTGCACATTTTTCCTGGCAATGCCATTCCATGTGCTACTAGAGCACTCCATGGCAAATTGCACTATTTATACATTATTAGCCAGGGACTGTTTGATTTAGATTATTGCACCACGTGCTACCTTCTAAGCAGTCACGAAGGCATAGTCTGGTTAGAATGATGTCTGTTGCATGTTCCAAGATTAGGCATGCATTAATTTCAGCTAAAACAGCAGCTGTTTCATGTTCATATAGAATTGCACACAAAGGTTTGGTTTAGAGTTGCCCAGCATTCAAACAGCCAGGAGAACCTCCAAATGACAGGAATCTCAAAAAGTGCCTCCTGTACAGAGTGCTAAACTTGCCTCCATTTAGTGTGACCATATCTAGTCTGTTGTTTTCTACATCCTTTCTTAGCAGTTAAAAGGGCCAGAGAAGAAGCACAGATGTAGAGAGGCAAATCCATCTAAAAGCCAGATCTCTGCCTCCTGCCTGTTTCAAAGGCAACTCCTGGCTAAAAAAGTCAGTGACACAGCTTTACCAAAGCCACATTTGCAGACTGTTAAATATTTAGAAGATGTTAGGTGTAGAATGGCAGAGTTTTGAAGTAGATGGATGTTATGCATACAAATGTTTGACACACAGAGGACTTGGGGATCACTTTTCTGGAGTTTGTGTTTTTCTGTTTGTCACCTTTCATACCACAGATAAACTTTGAGTTCTTAGTCATTAACTCTGGTGAATTCTTAGTCATTGCAGCTGGTGGAGAGGCCAGTAAAAGTTTTACAGCTCAAAAGGGCTGAACTTAACCATGAGTTTCACCTTTTTCACAGAACTTGATTAACAACAAATGGGCTGGGGTTACATTTATAAAAAACTGATAGTAAAGCCTCACCTTGAGTCTCCACCCAGAAACCTGAGAAAAGTAAATTAATTGAACAGCTTAGCCTCAGCTCAGTCAGTTAATTTTCCTGATTCATGGGCATGCATCAATCAGCTTAAAGCGCACTAGTTTATCGAAACAACAAACCCGAGAACAAAACAGAAAAACAAGGTAATGTGTTAAGGGCATATACATAATGCTTGAAATCTAATTTTAGCCATTTTTCCAGTCCTTTCCTCTGCTGGGTCTGGCCAGCTGGTTGCCTCACCCACAGCGGAGCCTGGCTGCATGTCCCACTACACCCTCTAAATAAGCACTGCAGCACTGTTGCTTGTAGTTTTCTTCATTCAGTTTTTTAGGTCAGAACATATATGGCAGTAGGAAGTAACAAGTCCCTTTGTACACCAGAAGCTTTTAAACAGTTTCTTCCCTAAATACCACAGAATATAAGTAATTTCTGCTTCATGAAATATTCTGTACAAAAAATTGTTGCATATGATTTTGTCCTCTGATGCTGGAAACTATTGCGTTATATTATGATGATCTCTCATTTAGTATTCCTAAGCCCAGTTAGTTAGTCCAGACTTTAATACCCAGCTTGGAATGTCCATGATATGTCTCTTGATAAAATAAAGCAAATCCATCATCGTATATCAATGCATATGGAAGGTGGCTCAGACCTGACCAAGAGTTCCTGCTATTCATGACCTTTTTTCTATAGGGGAAACTCTTAGCAACAAGCTTCTCCTCATGGGTCACCTTCTCTCCTGGATTGCCAGGCTTACAGAGGAAAAGCATCACCATTTCTTTTGTTCTGCCTTGTAGCTCCACCACTGACAACTTTGCAGCCCCCTGCTAGGAGTTATCGTGCAGAAGCACAGGCACTGTTGTACTTGAAAAGACCCACTAATACTACAATTTGATATAGTAGGTCTCCAATTTATGGCTCACCAGACTTTCCTATATAAACTCAGTGGCTTACAAGTTTCACCTGACAATCATTACACTCCTGGCTTTTGTTCTTTTTTCAACAGAGGGAGGCATCATGCAATATGTGGCAGGTGTACTGTATTAACCCAGTGAAGGACTGCAATAGAAAATATTAAAAATTTTAAAAGTACAGATATCTCATATAATTTCACTTTGTGAAAAAACAGTAGCTTCAAGAAATAAATTTCCCTAGATTATCAGTGACAGGCAAGCCATCATCATCATCCTTGGTGTTTAGCCTTCTGGTGACCGTGTTGGTGGGACCTGCTGGTGTGTTTCTGAACCTTTCATCTCAGACTAAATGATGAACAGTTACTAGGACAGGTTGCTATTTTTCCTTTATCAGGCTTTAATTGCTAGCGATGAATGTTCTGACCCTTTCACCTGTTCATCACTAAATGATGCACAGTTGTTACTGTGACAGGTTGCTATTTTTCCTTTATCAGGCTTTAATTGCTAGCGATGGATGCCCAGATCTCGATGACTGCCACGGCTGTGTCGAGACACGTCTGGGGACAGCGACAGCCGGTCTTAGTGCGTGTCCTGCGGGCAGGGGGCTGTGCCACACGTGGCTGACGTCCCGGGCACCAAGGCTGCTGTGTGGCAGAACAGTGCGGCGCTGGAGAGCCCAGAGAAGCAGAATGGACCAGCAAGGATCCACAATGCCCACTTTGGTACTGCATGTGTTTGGAGCGGCTGTGCCGGTCGGGGCAGGGCAGGGGCGAGCGGCCAGCCCCGGGGCGGGCATGCCTGGCTGCCAGCCCGGCTGCCCGGCACCTGCCCCAGCCCATCTCGCCGCCTGCCCCGGCAGCGAGCGGGCTGGCAGCGCCCCGTGCCTTCCTCCGCCCGGATCTCAGCATGGCTGGGGCAGGGGCGCCGGACACCCAGGACGCTGAAGGCGCTGGGACGTGCCCGGAGGATGTGCCCTCGCTCAAGGAAATCGAGCTGCTCCTGAACACTGGGCGGCCCTCTTGCAATCACGTTGATGAAGTATGGCCTAATCTCTTCTTAGGGGACCTGTAAGTACAGCTTTATGGACACGCCTCTGCCATACCTTCTGTTAGTATGCCTCTTGGGTGCGGCTTTAGACAGCTCATAGTTTTGCTAATTGCTGTCGTTCACGCTGCAGACAGCACGATTTCCGAGATAAAATTATTACTAAACTGGTATTCCCTTCTCGATTAGCCCTTAGAATCGGTGCATGGGCTGGTGCTCCAGCAGTAGTTTGGGAGATGCAACCTCAGTGCTTCTGCTCTGTGAATATCACTGCACCCATCTTGATTTGTCTTTGTCTTTTCCTTAGAGTAACAGCACACAATAGATTTGTTTTGTGGAAGATGGGTGTGACCCATGTTCTAAACGCTGCTCATGGCACATCATACAGCCAAGGAGGCCAGGACTTTTATGGAGCAACCATTGATTATTATGGTGTACCTGCCCATGACCTGCCAAGCTTTGATATCAGCCAGTTCTTTTTCTCTGCTGCACAATTTATCCACAATGCCTTGAACACGCCAGGAGGTATGAAATTATTGTTGGTCACATTTTGATGTGAGTCAGCAGCCTCATGTAACAGGTCAGCTCCACAAAGTTCAGTGGTGGACAAGTCACTACCTGGTGTCCTGCTACCTGGTGCTGGTCACTGCACGGTGGGTGGCAGGAGAAGGGAGTGCTGTGTATGCTCAGTGGTGGACAAGGCACTACCTGGTGTCCTGCCAGGTGCTGGTCACTGCACGGTGGGTGGCAGGAGAAGGGAGTGCTGTGTATGTGGGTGTAGCTCTGACTAAGTCCCAAGAAGCTGATGTGACAAAACAGATGAACCGTGCAGGAGAGAGCCTGGGGAGGAGAGAGAAAATTTTTTGGAAGGTAAGGCTCATTCAAAAGGGGAGAAGCAAAAAGATGCATTGGAAATGAAGACTGTCTTATTGCAAGAACAAATGAATAAAAGACTAATGCCCTGATTTCTGCAATAACCAACTATATAAAGAGGTTCATATATTGTAGATGAGTTTCTTGTGTGAACAGAGCCTGCAAGGCTGTGCCTCCAAAAAGGAGATTTACTTTTATCTAAGGAAATTTACAGTGAGTTCCACAAGAAACTGAGCTTCTTGGCAGTGGTGCAATAAAATACTAATTAACCAGTTTTACATTTAAAAAAAAAATGCTTCCAGCATGACTAAACTGGCATTAATGGAGATGTCTCTGTATCACAAGTTCTGACTTCAAAATAAAGCTACAGTTGCATCAAATTGCCTGATTATGCAATAGTACTAGGCCAGACATTTTTCTTGGTGGCTAATGTGGCTGTGCCATCCATTCAGGCCAGATTTTAGCATCCTTCCTTGCATCAGCCACCCTGCTGAAGCTAATGGGTCTTCTTTTCCTCATGGTCAAAACAGAACAGCTTCATTACTCTAAGAGGGTTTTCTTTGATTTACCAGTGTTTCTGAGATCAGTTTGGGGTCTCATGGCATTTCTCATACAAGTGACTGTAACAATGGCAAATTAGACTTAACTGATTAGCAGTTCATGTGATTTATCAGAAGAGTGAGAAAAACATTTAAATTAAATTTCATCCACTGTACTGCTTATCTTGATGCCTGTATTTTTTTTTACTAGCCAAAATATTGGTACATTGTGCAGTTGGAGTAAGCAGGTCAGCTTCTCTAGTGCTAGCATATCTCATGATAAATCACCACCTCCCATTAGTTGAAGCCATCAAGACAGTGAAGGAGCATCGATGGATTTCACCCAATCGTGGTTTCCTGAAGCACCTGCGAAACCTGGATGTTCAGCTGCGGCAAAGGAAGGACTGCTGAACAGGCAACCCTATCTACATTCACCCTACTGAGTTTCACCCTGCAGAGCCGCTGTGCACCTAAAACTTCCCATGATCCGTGCACACTGCAAAAATGAAGACAATTATGCATCGACATAAAAGGCCAAGAGAACGGTAAATGGATGAATTCTGATAGCTCAGTCCCTCCAAAACCAGCACAGCCAACAGCAGCACTATAACCACTGTGCAGGGTGGAACTGCTCTGCCTTGAGTGGTGCTACTGGATGAATGCACTGAAGTGGTTAAGACAGACCAAGTTTGTCCCTGGTGTCTGCTCATGCCAGAGGCAAGTTCAATATTTGCACCTAGCTGGAAAGGATGTTTGAGTCCCCTTTACTTGGGAGTGTAACATCATCATCTTTCTCAGTTTGGTTACAGTTCTCACATGCATATTCTCCTAAGAAAATGTTGCATTTCAGGCTTGATGATATGACAAGGACAGTTTCTTGAGAGCCCAGGCACTCCTACAGAAATGTTCCTCTTTTTCTGGTCTGCTAAATATTATGGTGTGTCAGCCACAAGACCCACACCAGCAGAATAAATGTTTGCAGCCTGGGTCAGCAAACCGCACGAGTCTTTTCTTGTTAAATATGTTTTCAAAAAGATAATGTATATCATGTAATATATAGAGAATGTTAAAAAGACTATGTCAGGTCTTCAAAGCATTTTGTAAGTTGGACTCCTCAGCTCGCTTGCACTCCAAATTATCCTAAATCAGTTCTGTATCAGTAGCTTTGGATCACCCATGCTTTAATATCAGGTAGACATTTAGCTTACATCAGTGGCTTGGCCTAATTGATACAAATTAGTTTTAATATGTTTTGAGGATGTCTCTTTTCCTGTCACCAGTTAATCAGTACTTAAACCAATGTGATTTTTAATACAGCAGCAGCATTTGAAATTCATGCTACCACTCTGCCTGAAAATTAGCTTGTTACCTTGTGGTGAACCATGAAATGATAATCAAATTTAGTTTTGCCCTTTGCTGCTGGTTGGATTTATTGATTAGTTGACCTTAAAAGATTCCCTGACAGATTAAGTAAATACATTTCTGCTTGCTTGTTTGCATTTGAAGCATCAGTTCTGATCATTTTATTCTCTGCTGGAAGACACTTGCAAGGTTATTAGAAGTCTAATACAATGGTGACTTGTGAGTTGAACCTCTTCCTTTCCAGACCACATTTCCTTCTTCATTCTTGCAGAGGTTATGACATGAATGCTGATTCTGCCTAGCATTTAGGGGAATGTAGAAATCCCTCCCTATTTCAATGTACACAAGTGCTTTGCAAAATAAGCATATTTAAGATCCTTTCAGACATCCTTTTGACTGTTGAGATTTTCCTAAATGTTGCAGAAGATCTCCATTGATGAGAGAAAGGTAAGACATTGTTGTGTGAAAAGATCAAATAGGAAATCACATTTAAAACCCAACAGTGCTAGGACAATCTTTATACCTCACAAAGCAGCAGAGTGGTGGAGGAGGAGCTTTTTTTGCTTTGAAGTTCTCCATAAAAATTAATAGGGATTTATATGAGTTAATATTTCATTATAATTTATACTTCATTCACATTACAGTAAGTTTTAGTCTGGAAACCTTTTGAAGACACAGCATTAAAAAATCTGAAATTCATGTGAGTGAAATAATGCATCTTAATGACTTTAGGCTGGGCAAAATTAGACACATATGAGCAAGATTAATGGAATCCTCCCATCAGGATAATGTTTTGCATGCCTCTGAGCATCTGTCCTACAAAGCCACAGCTGTGAAAGCTGCTCCTGTTGTAAATTAGAACCTGCTCTTGAAGATACTGCTCGTCCTGGGAGAGCATTGTTTCACCAGGGGCAGGCAAGGGAAGAGCACAGAGTGAAGCTGAGTCAGTAGGGCATCCATGCCACCAATGGCATGGTAGTGATCTTGGAAGCACGACTTACTTACCTCAGTGGAAGGAATGAATTAGGCAGAAACTTTTTTCAAGGGCATTGTCAAATCACAGAAGTGCTTTTAATTTGTGGAGTCAGTGTTGCTTATATTTCCTGCCTGTCTGTATTGCTTCCTTATATACAGATTTACTTTGAGTGCACATTTGTGCAGGGAAAAAGATTCCAGTCAACATAAGCAAAAGCAGAAGAATAGTCCTGTAACTTCTTAAAACAGAAAGCATTGTCTGCTGCAGTGTGCTAAGAGGAAAAGGGACCTCCTTACCTGTCACTTACACTATCCGTAACTCAAGTCATGATGTGACATGACATTAGTACTTCACTGCTTTCCACTATCAGCATAAAAACTTGTATTTTGAATGGTATTTGGCAAGTTAGATTAAGGAACCAAAATGAAGGAAAAATACTGCCTCCCCAGTGGCACTTCATTCAGAAAATACACATTTGTCAAGAGGGTCTACACAACCTGGGAGAAGATGGAAGTGAAAGGAACTGTCCCCACTACAGCTCTGGCATACTTAGATCTGCTTAAAGCAATCACAAAACCAGTCACCTGAAGGGACCCATGTAGAGTTCCAGTGAAAACACCTCCTCATTTTATTTTCCAGTACAAGAACTGGGGGCATTAGATGAAGTCAGTAGAAATCAGGTTTGAAACAATAGAAGGGGTTTACATGAGCTCTATAACACTTGCCACAGAATGCTGCAGGGAGTAAAAGCCTATAGATATTAAAGTGGAAAAGTTTGAGGGACAGAAATCCATTCAGCGTTACCAAATACTTAGAAACTTCATCCAGATCAGCAAGCTCGTAAACTGCAGCTGGAAGCTGGGAGAGTGTTATTATTATTATATACACAAGTATAATTAATGCTTGTGTGTTCTTACATTCTGTAGGCATTCACTTTCAGCCACAGCTAAGCACAAGACAGTGGGCTTGGTGAACCTTGGGTAAGGCCCAGGACCAGTGTTCTCATGGTGTTTATTTTGAACTCACCCTCAAGCTGTGCTGTCCCTTCTTTCCTGGTAGCTTATTATTAGAACTGGGTCACATGAGGCACTTGGGACTGCGTCTCGGTTGCACTGACTGACGTTTCAGCACAGGGAAAGCTCGGTGCTGGCAGGAACAGCACCATAGCTTATGTGAGGACGGGAGTAGCATTTTTTTGCATAAGATTCACTTAAAGCAGAAGGTTCATTTTTCTGGCTGTTCCCCATTGCATCAGGGACGTAGTGCTGAGCTAATCCAGGGAGGCGTCGAGGCGCGAGCTGTATTTAGAGCCAGCCACCTGCTTGGGAACATCAAGCGGCAGAAAGAGCCTGCTTCAGCAAAACCCTCCCCTGTGCATCCCACAGCAGCGGCTTCCAGCAGGCCCTCCCTCCTCTGCCTGACTCTGCATCAGGCCTCCAAAGGGCTCAGCACCTGAAGATAGACCCTGTCAGCCCAGGAATGCTCTGAGCCTGGCACTCCCTCTGCCCAGGAACTGCCAGATATTTTGGACAGCTGCAAGTGGAATTAAATCACGTGGGTGAAGAGTGGCCTAATCTCTACATAGGCAATATGTAAGTGTTATTTGAGGCTGAGCTGTTCTGAAGGGCTGGGGAATACAGTGCTCATTAACATATGCTGTCCAACTTTATATAGTTAGCATTTGTAAACTTCATTGCCTTAAAATAGACACGATTAGCACAGAAGAAACCAAAAGGACTATCCATTAAAGAAAGAACCTACTGCACAGAAAAACAATTTAAAAAATAATTAGACTCTCTTTATTGCTTTGTATTAATTTATAATTGTGCAGCATACAGATTTTATAAATGCTACAGCATTTACCATACAAAGCACAAGAGAGGCTCATGATCCTGAGCAGCCTTAAGACTGAACAATAATTGGTTTTTTACCTTTTCTGGTGTAATTTTAACTAGAATGGAAATTTTCACATTAAAAAGTATTCTGATTTTGGCTGTTTATATGACAACTTGATTTGCAGTTGAAATTTTGACAAATCTACAGATATTCTGAATGACAGCAGACTTCACTATTTCTGAAAACTGTGCAGATGGGTATTTCACTCTGAAGCATAGAGAAAGCATGCAATCATCTTCACTCAACATGCCTAGTGCCCAGTGTTATGCCAAAACAAGGGTTTTTTCACCATCATCAGGTTGCAAACTTGTTGAAATACCTAGAAATTACAATAATTCCTACAGGAGATAAAGAGGGGATACTAAAAACCCTGCTGATTGCCTACTGATTACAGCTGAAGTGGCCATTATTTTAGCTATGAAACAGCAACACCCAAAATGACCTAGGTGACGCTGGGGAAATAATCTGCATTTACAAAACTTGGTTGTAGAGATTGCCGCCTGCTTCCTGATGTCCCTGCGCTTGCAGGCAGGAGCGTGGCAGCCGGCAGGTGGCCCTGTGCCCTGCGGGTGGGGACAGCCAGCAGCACGGGGCCCTGGCCGGAGCCTGTGCTAAGGCAGAAGCCACAAAGTTGTGCCGCGCTTCGCTGAACTCCTGCCTTGGCCAGGAGAGTGCGAAACCGACCCTTGACTTTCTGGTTAAACCTTGTAACTACACTTGGAAATTAACTCTTTTACTTACTAGAACCATGTGCAGAAATAAGGATTTGTAGAATTGAGCCTGACAGGTAGTACAGGCAAAGATTTAAAACAAACATCACTGAAATTGTGTTCTCTTAACAGCAACATTTGATTTTAGACAGCCTTTTATGTGCAGTTTCAAGACCTCCTTTTAATCCTGTGAATATACATGTTCCAAACTACTCTTGAATGTTTCTTTCTATCACATTCTGTCTTGGAGGGGGAAAGAAATGGCAGAGAATAAAATGAAAAAAATATATAGATCACAACAGTGTGTATGTGTAGTAAGGAAAAGATGAAAGTTGAGAACATTCAGCTAACAAATGAAAATGTAAACAGGTTTCTTTGTTCATGGAACAGCTGATCAATAATATCAGCTTAAATATGAGTTACAGACTACAAAGAGTGAAACTGGAAGTTGATCAAGTACTATAGATGGAATTTTCTTTATTGTGCCAACAATAAGACAATAAGGAACAACACCTGAGAGTAAAGGTTCATGGGCTCTTAATAAGATAGAAATGGGGAATGGAGAGAGCATGTGCTTTTAGGGCCCAGCCCTGTACTCAGTGAAGTTAATAAACAATGGATGTTTCTGTTACTGAGCAAACCCATGCCAGCCTCAGGACTTGTGCCAGAGCTAAAATAACCCAGAACAGTACCATATATTGTCACTTCTTGTTTCTTTGGAACCCTTTATATGCAGTTTCTGAGCAGCTACTTGGAAATCAAAGATCAATCTAGAATTAATGCTGTATTTTATAAGAAATATTTTTCTGTATGCCTTTATCAGAAATCTGATGTTCAGCATCTTTAAAGAAGTTAAATATATCATAAAATAAAGTAGGGATGGCTGACTTCACATGATGGCTTTCATCCTGGAGGACTTTGAAGTTGTCAACAAACTGATTATTAAATATTTGTCTGGCTATCAGCCATTGCTGATATGCAAGGTCAAGGCCAAGACCCTTTGGGTTTAAAGGTACAATGTTTTCCAAAGTGCTATATAATAAGCAGCAGGGCACATATCCTGCAGAAGTCAAACTTCACACTGATCGTAAGCAGGCAGGTTTATTAACTGGAGTTTAACCGGATCAGCAAGTCTAATATCACTTCAGCAAAGAAACATTGTACAGTTACAAGCTATGCTAAAACCTCAGTGAGTTCAACATACATATTTCAAATCCAGTTCTAGAAGGACCTGAGCTACCTCCTGAGGTGAATTTTTGTGGGGTGTTTGGGCCAGCAGTACTCAATGAGATTGTAGCCAACTGAAGTCAGTAAAACTTGTTAAACTTATTTCTTTTCAGAAGTTAAATAATTTGGAATTCTGCATTTCCAGATGTGAGTATATTCAGAAATTGCAACCTTTTACCATTCTTCTACTACCTTACTTCTTCTTACACCTCTCAAAGGGGAAAAATGTCTCAGAGTGTGGTGGGCACAGACAGATGGGCACTACAGACAGGATTACATTAAAAGGCAACAAGATAACTTGAGCAACTTGTAATCATGAGCTTTCATAGTGGACACAATCGACTTTGACTGTGTTGCACATTTCTGTACATTCTGTGTGCTTTAACAAGGGCAAATGGTGAGTCCCTGTCCCAATGGTAAACTGCTGCTCTTACACAGCACTCGCATTAAGCAATCACAAATTACTTTAGCAGCATTAACTAAATGTCACTCAACCACTCAGGTAAGCCTAATTATCCACTTACAGACATTGTCTTCATTGGCACGTGGGAAAACAGCAGGATCCTGAGAGATTAGGAGTGACCAACAAAACCATATCCCCATCAGTGGCAAGGATCACACATGGTGTACTAGTAATCATTGGAATGTATCTTCTGTCACAGGAGAGAAAAAAGAAAAGCAATTATAAAAGGGAAGACAGTTTTGAGCTCTCAGTCAGAAATCACTATTTTTAAAATTTATTTTCCTGTACTGATTTGTCAGAATACACAACAAAAACAACTTAAAATAGTTACTTTCTCATTTGAGAAATAGCCAAAAGCTGCAAAGAGCTATTGCAGAGACACGCCAGTTGGCCATTTACAAAGCCTCATGCCATGTGTTTTCCTCTGTTTCTGGACTCAGATCTCTAGTAACAAAAAGCAGTTCTTGATTTATGAAAGGGCTGTATGTAATACCCTGGAGGCTACTTTATCTCAGCTGCTGTAAATTGGATCTCTCAGAGATGAGATGAGATGCGAGTGAGGCAGAAGCACAAACTTATGCAATCTGTGACCATAGCACTATTCTATACAGCCTGGAACAGCACTATATGTATTCCTTTCTGTTTTGAAAGGAAAAATCTTTATTTGCTGTATTCTTAGAAAAAACAGATCTGCTTCCTTTATGCTGGTTTACCTTACAATATTCTGCCACTTTCCTCTAGGCAATGCTAACCAAAGAATTACCCAGTTATGAGCAATTTCATCAAGGATTTACATACTGAACTGAGATACAGTATACACCTATATAAACTCTAAACTCCTATGAAATTAAAAGAACACAAAGTGACAAGGAGAAATGTCAGACAAACAATCTGAATATGAGATAAAGATGAAAGGAACATGACCTAAAGCTTTGGCATCAAATCTATTTTTCTTCTCTGTTTAGGGTATAGAATGTTTCTGAATTTTGCATGCTCCTGTCATTCCTCAATCAGTTGGTTAAATGAAGGCAGCAAATATGCTAGGTACTCCTCTGGGGTATATTCCTAATTTGCTGTCCATTCTGCTCATTAAAACTCTTAAAAATCAACTCCAAGAGAAAGTAGGCCCCTGTTTAAAATTAAAGCTTTTAAGTATATCCCTGAACACAAAAAGATGCTAAGCTGTTTTGCTGATTGGGATCAGCAAATTAAAAGAGGAAAATATTGCCCAAGCCCTACAAGTCACCCAGATGGGAGACAGTTTTCTCACCCTGGTGACAATAGATGCTCAATGGCTGAGGACTTTCCAGAGGTAACTTTTTCTTGCCATGCCCTCTGCCCAGGTCTGTCTCAGCTTTATGGACCTGCGAATTATTGCAAATACAATAAATTTTCAGCCATAAATTAGACATTTCCTTTGTGCTCAAAATTTCCTGTTCCCACCAAAATTCTTATTACTTGAACATTGCTGTGCCTGTAGCACTAGTGAACATGGAAAGGGATAAGTTATTTAATTTTAATGGAATATTTCATAAAGGAACTGCTCTTTAAAGCCTAATTTGCTGGCTCAGAAGTCAGGTTTCTCCCAGTACCCTGTCTTATGTCAATGTCTCACCAAGGAGAGGGGACTGTAATGAAAAAAATTGAAACTTTTTTTTGAACTGTTGAAATGACTACCCAAATTGGCAAGCTAAGCTAGACCACCCTAGGGTAGTTCTCATCTTGGAGCATTTGTTTGGAAAATAAATTGCAGATTTAGACTGAAGTCCTAAACATGCAGAGCTAAAATACCTGGGGAAAGCTGCTGGTGGCAATTCAGCATTTTAGCAAAATTCCATAGCATTTGCCCAGAGTTCACTTGCCACATGCATGCATTTCTGGAGAAGGTAATGCCGTGCTGCATCAGACCACCAAAGCTGGGGCCACACTATTCCTTGTGGAAACTCCCACCCCAAACCAGCAGTGTAACCCAGGGGTGAGTTTGCCCTCCTAGTTCCAAAAAGAGACGTCTGCCAAGGACAGTATGGCCTAAGAGGCACACATTGCTGGCAGGCTCTCAAGTGTCAAAATAGAACCAGCGCTGCCAGCCGCATAGATCCTGTGCTTCACAGGCAACACACAGACCAGGAAAACAATCACGTTGTTGGGTGGAAACAGCGGCTTCCCAGGATTGCTCTGACCATGGTGTGCTTGTGATCAATCCACATTGGCAAGTATCATCTTTCCACGTGTGTTTCGCCTCCCGCAGTGCCTGCGGCGAGCAGCCCGGGCAGGCTGATGCATGCTTGTTATTGCCGGCGTAAATATCTCTGCCTTGTGCTATTGTGGCACAAAGCAGCTGGACCATTTGAAAATCATTTAAAAAGCACTATAAAATTAGGGCTCCAGTGCTCTTATTTTATGGCTTTCATGAGCAGCCATTGCCTAGAGAGAAATTATCCTCTTTATTTTCAAGGCTAAAGGTTCTTTTAACATTCATCAAAATCAAAGTGCACCCTTGGTAACACGTTGAGCTGTTACTTATTTAGTACAGACTCTTTACTTTCTGCATAATATCACATTTGAGATCTCAGTTCTTCATGTACAACTCATTTCATTGTGTCTGCTGTTGTTTTCACCAAGTGAATTTGCACAGTTTCAAGAGAGGCTGGATGATACCCTGAACCCTGAAACATATTCTTTCCATAATTCCTTTTTTTTTTTTTTTTAATGGTTAAAACAACAGCCTGGAGTGTTTTTGTTTCTGATCCTTCTATTAAAATGGCCAATTACCTCTTAAGCAATGGATTTGCACAGACCAACTAAGCACTGTAAGTGAAAGATTTTCAAGGGCAGAAATAATACTTAGGTGCATAACTTGATAGACTCACTTTGAAACATCTCTTCCCCATGTATATTAAAAATCTGTTTTTGATAATTTTCTTTTTTTCCATTCTTGTTTTCACAGACAGTTTCTTGACCAAACTGAGGAAAACGGTGAGTGAACCAAAGCAGCATGAAAAAATGCAAACAGTACAAAGGGAAAGCCATTGTTTTTAGAAAAAAAAAAAAAAAAGAAGCACAGCTGTATCAACCATACTTACAGATCAGATCTGAAAGGCTTAGGAAGAGACACTGCATGAAAGCATCCATCAGCCACAGAGGTGGCAAGTGGGGAATGGTAAGGCCTTGCACATGCTCTGTGCTGCAGCTCAAGAAAACCACTGTGTGTCCCTCTTTTGTTTAACCTGCCTCACGTTTCTGTAAGAGACTGGTCACCTTATTACCCAGACATCAAATACAGACTGAAGATAAACATTTACAAAGTCACAACCTTAGCTCTGTTCTCATGATTCCCTCTTTGGCCAGGATTTTGTCTTTATGTTCTCTGGGGACAGCAGGCTCATTCCCATGCCAAAAGGCAGCACTCTCAGATCCCTGCAAGGAGGGTGGTTGGTGCTGATAGATCCCGCTGTGAAAGCGTGTGCAGCCACACAGAGCAGCTGTAAAGTCAGGATGCACCATCCTGCCTGGAGAAGATGTAACCAGGCAGAAGGCAAGGCTGCCTGTGTGCAAGGGGAGCTCTGTCACCATGCCAGCACCTCTGAGAGCAGAGGGACTTTGAGTTTTTAATGACAGAGATTTTGCCTGTTGTCACCCAGTCTGTGATCCATCATGGGAATGGTTAAGATAATAGAGGGATGAGATGAAGTTACTTGGTAATCACTATTATATATGACCCTAGAAAGGCAGAAAATGGGACAGGCATGACAGACATCTTTATGGAAGAAGGAGGTGGGACAGACATTAAGTAAGTCAGGATAAGAAAAGCACCTCAGCTCTGTGACACATTTTTCTGTTCCAACAGTCAGCAGCCACCTTCCTGTGTCTGACAGTCTCAGAAACAAAGAGAAGGGCCCAATTAAGCTCATGGAGCTATGGGCCCTTCCATTTTGAAACAGATTAGCTATTTTGGGTTAAGACTGACCCATCCAGTCTCAGCTCTTGCTTGTGGCAATTGTGAAAAGTGGCAGGAGAAGAGCAGAGGTCAGTGTAGCCCTCCCAAGACCAGATACAGCACCATGAGTGAGATTATGTCACCTGTGCTTGGGGTTCCTCCCTTTGGAGCTGGCATGCACATGTGTTTTTTCTCTCTCAGGCATATACACCCTGATCAACAGAACAAAAATTAAAAACACAGATAGAGTTTTTACCTGGTAGAATAAAATAGAAAATCCCTTAACCCAGTAGAATAGAAAATCCCTTCTATCCAGTGGTTTCAAATTCCTGGACAGCCTTTGCTTTGTGGTGAATTGTTTCTCAGTATAGCTTTCTTTATAAAAGATAACAAACTGACACTTGCAGTCAATGCTTTAGTGCTGAAAGGGGAAAATTTTCCTTTCAAGCACTGAAGGGGAGCAGTTGTCTACAGAGTGTTTTTTTCCCCATACACACATATCTACTAACACCTCAATCTGTAAAGTCTTGCTCACCTCACATCCAGAGCAGGATTAAGCATATCCTGGAGCTGTTCTGACCTAGTTGATCAGTTGCTGAAAGCCTGGCAAAAGGACCCAGGTTGTAGTGTGTCCTGCATGAGCTAAATTCAAAGTAATTTTGTGCTCAATTTAAACTATTTATTTCAAGGAAGGCTTGATCTACCTTTAAATAGCAGGTGGGACCCCATAACTCAGAGGTGGGCAGCCAAAGGGGAAAGAAGGCTCCTGGATGCTGGCAGTGTTCTTGTGGTGTTGTCAGCAGCTGCAGACCTTCCATCACTTGTTTTCCTCACAAAATGAAGCTGCTAACTGCAGAACCAAGCTGAGACCAATGTAATTTTACAAAAAGAAGCAATACAAGAAAGAATATCTTTAAAACCCAAGTAGGATCAGAATCTGGAAAGGTGTGAAGGCACTAGGATCTGTTTTAGCATCATATCATGGGACAAGGGTGTTCCTGCCCAGGTGATGGGCACCCATATTACCAGTTCTTTTTCCCTCACCATCTCAACAGTTGAAAGCTACTTTAAGAATTTTGCTTTTGCTTCTTGACTCTTCATGCCTTGTCATTCTCCTCCATGTTGTCACTGTGAAATCAATCTTGGTCCATAGTGACAAATGCACTGGCAGCCTGGGAGGCAGATTCTAGATGTTTGGTGCGCATGTTATAGAATTCAGTATTTAGTAATGAGTAGTGTGGACACAGCATTCATAAGACAGGTGGAAAAAGAGTCAATGCAGGTTGGACCTGAAGGGCTGGCTAGTTATTCATTCTCCATTAGGCCAGAGCAGAGTCTAGAGAAAGCCTGCTTAAGAAACAGGACAGCTGTGTATCCTCCAGCTTTTGGCTTTCAACAGATTGGCTACTTCTTAAGCCTTTTTTAATTACTACAGACTGAAAAGAAGAACTGGTCCTAGCACAAAAGTCCTTAATTGCCCTCACACACCCAACAAGCACCTTGCCTCCATTAGATCCAAGGAGGGGTGAAGGCTGTGGGGGAAAAAAAGAAAAGGAGGAGTGAAGGCTGGGTGAGAAAGGAAGATGAATGGATAGCTGAGGAACATGCTGGATGGGTGAGCAGGAAGGCTGGATGGTGAGGAACATGCTGGATGGGTGAGGAGGAAGGCTGGGTGGGTGAGGAGGCTCAGGCTGGTGCTCAAGGAGGCCCTGGGGAGGCCACTGCCACAGGGCAGCACAGCTGCCATGACCATGAGCTTTGTCCCCTCACCAGACAAACTGCAAAGGCACTGATGAACGTCCTCCATGCCTCAGTGAGGGGAGGCCAGGCCGGGTCAGGCCAGGCCAGGCCAGGCCACGCCAGGCCAGGCCATGCTGCGAGCAGTGGTGTGCCAGGACCAGGGCCAGGGCCAGGGCCGGGACCCACCGGGTCTGCACAGTGCTACCATTCACAATTAACTTCTTCCAGTTAATGAGCTCCTGGTGCACAATGATCTTTGTGAGTTTTCCACAGCTTTCTTTTATCTGTTAGAAGAATGGAGGGGAGCCACCACACTGGCTGCTGAGGAGGAGTGCCTCTTTATAACTCAAAACTCCCAGCCAGTCTGGTTGTACTTTCCAAACCAATTTCTGTTCTTGTAGAGGGTTTATTTCCTTTAAGAAAAGTATTTGAAGTGAAAGCAGCTGGGGAGAGAGCATGAACAGCACAGACTCCTCCCTTGCAGCCCCCTTCCAAAGCCCCAGCAGCTCCAGTGGCACCCATTGCATTGAGGGGCCAGTTTTCCCAGGAGAACAGGCAGGAGGTTTGACCCCACTGGTTTGACCCCAGTTCCCAGCCCAGCAACCCAGTGCCACAGCCTGTTGGCACCCAGGTGTGCCCTCCTGCCCAGCTGCTGTCCCTTGCGTCTCCCACTGTTCCCAAAAGCCACAGCAGTGTCCTCTAGCTGGGCTCTTTTTCTACTATGGCTAGAGGAACAGGGAATGGGGAAGAGAACACATTTGGAAGAAGACAGCATAAAAGACTAAAATAATCACCCTGCTTTTTACTTTAGGTGAGTGCATTATATCTTGGACTGGTTTGTATGACAGATTTTGCCAGCAGAACAAAACCAGGCCAAACTGCACAGTGTACAGGAAAAAATGAGCACTGTCACAGGCTTTTCTTATACACAAAACCTTCATAGGAAAGGATACAGTGTATCTTTTGAGGTGTACACCCAGGTCAATACCAATCTAATTAATTAAGTATACTTCCCATTTTTCTTCCATCCAGTGCAGTTTCTTGTAAGTTCTCTCTTTAAATGCCGGTCAGGAGTGTATTCCGTTCTGCGATGCCCATCGCTGTGTATTTTTAAATTCTCCAACATAGTTTTTTCCTGCCATCTTGTGGCAGCAGGAAAAATCACAGCATTTCACTAGTCGCAGCGCTGCCAGCTGACCTGAGACAAGAGTTGTTAATAAAAGAGAATAATAATAATTATAATCTAGAATTAGATTACTTGGCATAACTGCAAAAAAATACAGCCCCTCTTGCATATTTAAAAGCTTGAGAAAGTTTTCCAGCTCCACTAGTTAATCTTGTAGCAGGGATTCTTTGGTTATCCCAGAGCAAAGTGTTTGTTTTGTAGACCTTTGTGTTTTCTGCTGTCTATAAAGAGCAAAGGAGAGTTGCATAACAGGTGAGACTTAATCATGTTATGACAAGACTTCACCAAGTGAACCCTAAATATTTTGAAAAGGCTCCTTTTTGCAGTGTTGTTCTCAGGTTTTCATAGCTCCTTAACAAAGCCATCTTTGTTTCCTATCAAACTGTAGGAACATCTTGTCTGATAGGCATGTAAAGCTTTTCCTTTTACTGCAACCACTGTTGCTGTCTGGTCTCTCAATGTAAACACCGCAAAACCTGCCCAAACATCCTGCATTATTTGCCTAATTCTAAACCAAACATTTTCATTATTTTGTTAAAAATGCATGTAAGACTTATATAAGATGCAATCTAGGTTCCTAGGTTTTTCCCCCTTTTCTGCTATTGTACAGAGCATTTTTGAAAATGAATACTTGTGATCCCAACTGTCCTGCCTGCCACAATAGCTCTTCCCACACAGATGAGGTGAATATATGAAAATTATATATGGTAATTTTTAAAAATTCAAAAAGAAAAAAACGCCAGTATTTTCCCTTAAAATAAATGCAAAATTCAGAGTCAGTAAGAAAAACTAGTCACTACTTACTAAAAAAATTTCCAGCCTGCAAAGAGAGTGTAAATAAAAGCTCTTCAAAGCTTTGTTCATTTTCACTAGCACCCGCAAAAATGACTGCTTGGATTCCAGGCACTGGAGGGAAAGGATGTTAGTGCTATTTATAGCTCACAGGTGACTCCCATTGCCATTGTACCTGAGAATGTCGCAGTCCTTAACGCATTCCTGCTAGCAGCCACTTTCTCAGGCAGAGGACAGCCTTCCCAAGGCTGTGCTGGAGGCACGGAGGGTTGCTCTGGGAAAATGGACCGTTCTGTTTGCGGTATGTTCCCAAGCTGTCTG